TTTTAGACGAAAAATAAGAATATTATAAATTTTTGGAAAATGGGCGTAGCCACGCCCACTTATGGTTACATGTGTATATCTTGGTAACCGCTGCACCAATTTCTTCCAAACTTGGCACAGTTGTTGGCCTTGGTACAGCATACTAAATGGCCGAAATTTTAAAAAATCGGACAATAACCACGCCCACATCCCATATAACGGTAATTTAGAGAAACACGAAATCTTCGATAAATCAGTAAATATTAAAGCTAATTTATTCAAAGTTGATGCTTGCAACAACTCTTTACCAAGAAATACGTTTATGGTAAAATTTTGGAAAATGGGCGTGGCACGGCCCACTTATGATCACATATATGTATATCGGTAACCGTTCTACCAATTTGTACCAAACTCGGTGTGGTTATTGTGCTTGCCAAATAAAAGCAAAACGTTGAAGATTATTGAAATCGGACTAAAATTACGGCCGCTTTTCATATAATGGTAAATTTCAGAAATGCTTGAAACTGCAATATTTCGAAATTTGAGGACGCTAATTTACTCAAAATTGATACAGCCCGGCTTACAATCTAGCGGTAGGTTTCGGAAAGGTGAAAGAACATGTATTTAATACATGCGCCGGGTATTTAATGTTACATTCAACTGATGCGTATTCCGTTTCGATTCTGTTTTACTAGGCGAAATGTTGCGGCGAATATCACCCGACAGCATCGCTCCGTCCGACGAAATTCGCTCAGCTATTGGGTTCTGTTTATACTTTAACGAATAAACACAATTTATTTTTATTTTTTTATGGATGCGGGTTTCTTCCATATGCTATATGGAAGCAAATGCGACAAAATATTCTAAAAAATCTATGGTAATTTTTGGCTACTTGAAACTTCCACATTATCAGACTAAAATTGAATGAGCTACGAAACTGTGCCAATCAACCACCGGGTGCTTGTGCCGAAATATGTATCAGAAGTCTAAGGGTACGCATTAAGGAAAATGTGCGTTTGCAGTCTATCACCCTTGTCTTGTGTGTCTAATGGTTCCATGTAGTAGCTTGTGTTTTGAAGGTTTGTCTTTTGAGTTTTCTACAATAACCGAATATGATGTGAGTAGATGTATTCTTGGGATAAGGTTTAATGCTGTAGAAGAAGATGGACTTCCAATAAAGTTTATACAAGTCGCGTTACCCTTTTCTTTTCTATCTTGGTATGCTTTTATTTCTCCTAATCTATGTTATTAGTTAGGAAGTATTATTATAATAGTTTGTTTCTTTGGCCTTGCTTTCATTCTTAAGTTGGCGGATGTATGTATAAATATTGCTTATTTTATTTGGTCTTTGTTTAATTGTATGTACATATATTGTTTTTTGCTTATCTCTCAGGATTTTTTTTTTGTACTATAAAAGATTAACGTACTTTAAATTTTCGGCAAGGAATTTTTAGAACTCCTCTTGTGGTTCTTTGCCTTCTAAACATTTTTATGAAAAATTGGAATAATTCTGTATATCGTCGTTTAAAGTGCAAAACCACGTATCAACAAAATGCAAAACC